ACAAACCAGTTCCAAAGGCTCCTAAACCACAAGGTCAGGTAAATTCATGGCTGAAACCTCACTCTTAGTACCAAAATCTGTATTAGTGCTTTCTAGAGAAACATGTTTAATGCAAGGTGAAAGCAGACTGGAGCTTCTCCAAAGAAACAGAAGCAAGCCTTCCTTCTTCATTTCCCCTTTATATATTCAGGCAACAAGTGCCCTAAGGTGGGTCTTCTGTTTCTTCAGCTACACTCAAAACTATGTTGATCAATTTAGCTTGTGTGTTTCTTACTCAAGTTGACACAATCAATGAACTGTCACAGAAAGATATCCCTTGTTCCTGGATAGGCAAAACCAATACTGTCAAATGGTCATATTGATATACAGGTTTAATGCAATCCCACTCAAAAATACCAATAGAAGTCCTCACAAAAATAGAGAAAACAATCCTAAAATACACTTGGGCCAAAAGAGATCCAGAAGAGCAAAGTAATCCTAGGAAAGGCGGTGGGGGTGGAAGCAAACCTGGAGACATCACAATCCTGGATTTCTAGTTATATTACAAAGCTAAATGATAAAAATAGGATGCTACTGGCATTAAAACAAACATGTATATCAATGAAACAGAACAGAGGATACAGAAACAACTTCAGGTACATTCAACTACATAATCTTTGACACACTTGAGAAAAGGTAGGCTATAACAAATGGGAAAAACTGGCAATCCATATGAAGAAGATTGACTCTAGACTCCTATCTCTCACCACGTACTAAACTAAAATCAAAGTGGATCAAAGATATAAATATTAAAACAGAAACTCTTAAGCAGCTGGAAAATAAAAGAGGTAAAATTCTTGAAAACATAGGCATAGGCAAAAACTTTCTAAACAAGCCCTCAAATATGAAAAAATTAATATCAAGAATCTACAAAAGCGACTATATCAAATTAAAAAGCTTTTGCATAGCAAAGAAAAAAAAACATCCAACAGTAAAGAGAAAACCTACAGGATGAAAAAAGAATTTTGTCAGCTACCCCTCAAATACAGCACTAATCTAGAATATATAAAAAACTAAAAACAATTAGAACCCCCCCAAAATAAAACACAAAAATCAAAAAATGGGCAACTGAAATGAACAGACACTTCTCAGAAGAAGCAATATAAATAGCCAATAATACATTTTTAAAAAGTGTACAACATTGCTGGACACTAAAGAGATGTTGGTTGGAATGTAAGCTAATATAATCACTATGGAAATAAGTACAGATATTCCTCAAAAATCTAAAATCAGAAATTCCATTTGACCCAGATATTCCCCTCCTTGATATCTTCCTGAAAGAGTTAAAGATATATTAATGCATACCCATATTTACAGCAGCATAATTCCTAATTGAAATTCCATTTGACCCAGATATTCCCCTCCTTGATATCTTCCTGAAAGAGTTAAAGATATATTAATGCATACCCATATTTATAGCAGCATAATTCCTAATATCAAAATATTGGAGGAAGTCTGTATGTCCATAAAAAAATGAAGAAAATTTGATATTTATGCAAAATGGAGTACTACTCCACTATAAAGAATAAAACTTGAGTCATTTGTAGAAAAGCAAATGCACATGCAGACCTTAACACGAACTGTAATAAATCATACCTAATACCTTAAATATCATATGGTTTGCCTTATATGAAAAACCCAAAGTATAAATAAATTATAGAGCAAAATGAAAGATAGATAATAGGAAACAGAGAAAGGGACCTATTTGTCAAAGGGATTTTTTTGCAAAAGGGAAAGAGTCAAGAGATGGAGGGGGAAGGGAGTAGAACAAAGATAACATAAAAGAATTAAGATATTTTATGCATACATACCTTGTCCCCATGAAAAGTATAATCTTTACTTGATTTGCTTTTTTTAAGTTTCTGATTCACACACACAGTACTATGCATAGCTGAAATTTTTAAAAATTTAGTATACAGAAAGAAAGTTTAAAGAAATACATTCTAGTCCATTCAACTTTCCACGTGCACTACAAAAAAGGAAAGTATACACATGTGTAAATAAATCAAATCTATATTATGGACAGGTAAGGAGGGACAAAGGAAGAAATAATGCTAGTATTTTTCTGCTGACAAGTTTCCAGGTTAGTACTCATGAATGGGAAAATGTTACCCAGCATTTTTGCATAATTTCTTTGTTCAATTAGTTACTATGCCTGTATTGAAATTTGTCAGCTTTAAGCTTTAAATTGAAAGTACACTTCAGAAACACTGACTTTCAGAAAAAGATATTTCATTATATACACAGAAAATTTCACATTCTAATAGATCATAGTGCATTATTTCTTTTTCCAATATTTACTTTGGAACTTCCATGGTAATAACCCAATCACTCATGAGACAGGGCCTTTGAGGGATCAAGGTTACCTTTTCCAAAATACCTGAAGATGGCTACATCAGAAGAAAACAACTACACTGTCCTAAAAAAGAAGTCTCGGCTAGTATTTTTACCAGAGAAAAATTATCTGTAACTCATGTGAAAAAGTCCTGGCAGAATAAATTAACCACTTTTCAGTCTTTTAATTGTTTTTAGAAAACTTCAAAAGACCAGTTAAATAAATGATCACAATTACTGACCCAAGGAACTTACTTTCTCTGGTGCAACACTTTGGCCACAATACTACTTCACAGTAAAGCACACAGAAAGTCAGAAAGACGTGAACAGAGATTTAGCCAAATTTACAAGCCAGAGTATTGTGGCTTGTGTCAAGATGTCACCCCTAAAGGCTCATGCAGTCATAGGTGGGGCTTTTTTAGAAATGGCTGGATCTAGAGTGTGTGGTGCTAGGATTAAGGGTATATGATTACTAAATTAGCCCTCTGATTGGTTTGGCATAGTTCTGGGTAGAATTAAAGGTGCCCCATCATAGATGTGAGTGCTACCTAAGGGTGAGTAGTCTGGATAAAATATAAAGGACACAAAGTACTATTATCTAGAATATATAAAGAACTCAAAACAATCAGCCCCCCCAAATATAAAGACACAATTAAAAAATGGGCATCTGAAATGAACATTTATTTCTCAGACAAAGCAGTAAAAGCAAGTAAATATATGAAAAAATGTTCCACATCACTGGTCATTCGAGAGATGCAGATGAAAACAACACTGATTCCACCTCACCCCACAAAGAACGGCTGCTACAAAGAAATCACACAATAACAAATGTTGGTGGTGTTGTGGGGAGAAAGGAAACCTTCTCCATTGTTGGTGGGAGTGCAGATTGGTGCAACCACTATGGAAATCAATATGGAGATACCTCAAAGAACTAGGACTAGAAGTCCCATTTGACCCAGCCATCCCTCTGCTGGGTATCTTGCCAAAAGAATTAAAAGAATCCTATCACAATATATATGCGCACCTATGTTTATAGCAGCACAGTTTGTAATAGCTAAAACTTGGAAATAGCCCATTTGCCCATCAGTTGGAAACTGGATAAAGAAGATGTGCTTTTTCTATAAAATGGACTACTACTCAGCCATAAAGAATGTGAATCATTCATAGGAAAATGGATACATATTGAGTATATACTCCTAAGTGAAATAAATAAGTCACACATGTGTAAATACCGAATAGTTTCTCTGGTGTGAATAAACTTAATAGTACATAAGATAATTGACAATGTGAAATAGGAAGAAAAGGGCTAAAGGCATAGGGAAAATGGGAAGGGTAGGAGAAAGGTAATAAGGGAAAAGAAAAAATATGAGAAAATGAAAAAAATGGAAATAAAATGTTTGTAAATGGGGAGGGTAGGAGGGGGTGAAGGGAGAGCAGGGACAAGGGGAAAAAATGAGAACCAAGACCTGCCATGTAAAGGTATAAGATCCCAATAATGAATGTAACTGTACTGTATACCTAAAATGTACCAATAAACTCAATGAGGGGGAAAAAAATATATATATATATATGACAGAAAGAGGTGGTTGCTTGTTGCTGGTACCTGGCTGCATTTCTGACTTCTGCATTTCTGACTGTTTCTCCTCTCTGATGTCCCTCTGTCATGAAGCCTGCCAACTATGAACTGAAATCTCTACAAACTGTAAGCTAAATACGCTTTTGTTTCTTTAACTTTGGGTGTTAGGTATTTTGAAAATAGTGAGAAAAATAACTTAGAAAAGTAACTAAGACACAGGGTATTCCCAGGCCTCGGGGTTCTCACTTGTAAAGTTAATAGAATTATTCATTCAGTTAATAACTGAATACCTACTATGCACCAAACTCTGTGTTAGCAATGCAAGTTTGTTATTTGGTTCTTGTTAAGTAAATAAAACCATATTCCTAATCTGGTAGAGATGTAAATAAATGCAACATGATAACTGCTTTGAACAAAATAAATGCTTGGGCAAATTGAAAACGGTTGCAAAGGGAGCAATCAGTTCAGCATAGACTTGAAGAATGAGTTGCTGACAGATGGGAATGATAGATACTCCCTAGAGAAAGGGCACAGTGTGGGTACACAAGAAAACAAGAAAGAACAACAGAGAGATTTAATGTAGATGATGCACAGACTGGGTGTCAAAGATAGGAGCCTAAGAAATTTGACCTTTAAGTAATGATAAGCCACTTAAATATTGTTGGTGAAGTTCCTTTTACATTTACACTCTGCAGGTCCAATCCAGTGAATTTAATTTCTCCACCATTTATTTCATTTCAAGTTGTTAAGACTTCCCTAAGAAAACAAAACTATCCACGTTTTAATGTTGATATTATGAAACCTAAAAGACCTTTATTAACTGTAACTTTTAGGATATCTATTAATATTCCAGTAGTAAAGCATTCTAAAAGCAAGATATAATAACTGATTTAAATCTGCTTTTTATCAAATACATACTGAATATATAAGGTATGAAAACTATAAAGACATTCAATTTGTATGCCCTCCAAAAATACTTTTTCATACTTTGATCAAAGAAAGCTTTGAGTACCAATTACCTAGAAGTAAGAGAATATTAAGTCCCACTTACCTGTGTTCTGCAGGAACAGGTGGTGGCCAAACAGCAGGATCTCTAAATGGTTCATCTTGACAAGATACAGGGAAACCTGGAGGCTTGTCCATTTTAAAACTTTCTAAAGTGCTGACTATACTTTTAACTTGTTCATATTCTTCTAATAATTCCTGTTGAACCTTAAAAAAAAACAGGCTTTATGGTACAACTGTTTCAAGTTCATATAAATTGTAAATAAACTGCTACAAAATACAAGTTTTTAATGTCATTCAAAATATGCAAAAATATGTCATTAAAACATTCAAACACAAAAAAACTAAGAATATAAACAGCAGAGATGGATTTGAAAAAAATAATTTTATCTCTTCATAACAAATTACATATTTTTATAATGGACTCTATTTCTACCCAAGAATATAATGATAATCAATATAATTTAAATGACTAATAAATAATAACCATTCCCAGAAATCTATAGTTTTGTTAAATCCTTTTAATAAATTTGCAAATAGAGTTTATTGTCAGCCAAAATTTTCTCCAGCATTTCCTATTCTTGTATCACTAAATATGAAATGCCTGCCACAAGTGTCAAAAAAGCCAGAAGCATCATAAAACTATAAATTACACATTTCCAATTTTCGTGTAAATTCTCCTTTCCCTAAAATCTGATTGTTATTTGGTTTTACTTGGTATAAATTTTCTTTTTTTTTTCGGTACCAGGGATTGAACTCGGGTCCTTGCACTTGCAAGGCAGGCCACCGAACCGCTGAGCTAAATCCCCGGCCCTTACTTGATTTAAATTTTTTCAGGTACTAGGTAAAGCTCTTTTTGAGCTCAAGACAAGATTTTTCTCTATGTTTCAAAATGTATCTGGCTTCTTCCTCCAGAAAACACCAAATGGTGGATGAGGCCAGTGCAGCAAGAGCCCCAGGAGGAACTGGAGGCCCTGGGGCCCCAGCGTGGAAGGCCATGACAGCTTCCATGGAGGCTTTGGAAGTAGCATTCTAGGGCCAAGGGAGACCACAGTGCTCATGGTGGTAAGGCCAAGGAAAAGGAGTGGATTCCTATCACCAGGCTGGGCCTGCTGGTCAAGGAGATGAAGATCAAGTTCCTGGAGGAAATTTATCTTTTCTCTTTGAACATCAAGGAGTCTGAGATTATTGGCTTTTTCTTGGGCACACCCTAAAGGATGATGTTCTGAAGATCATGCAGAAGCAAACTCTTGCTCAGTGGACCAGGTTCGAGGCATATGTCACCACTGGGGACATAATGGACACATTGGTCTGGATGTAAAGAGCTCCAAAAAGGTGGCTACTGCCATTCAAGGGGCCATCATTCTGGCCAAACTCTTCACTGTCCCTGTGCAGAGAAGCTATAGGGGAACAACAACAGCAAGCCTCACACTGTCCCTTGTAAGGTAAAAGGCCACTGTGGCTCTTTACTGGTGCATCTGTCCCTGCCCTCAGAGGTACTGGTGTCATCTCAGCTGCTATGCCCAAAAAGCTGCTGCTGATGGCTGGTACAGTGCTGATGACTGCTACACCTCTGCCAGAGACTACACTGCCACTCTGGGCAATTTCACCAAGGCCATCTTTGATGGCATCTCCAAAACCTAAAGCTACCTGATCCCTGACCTCTGTAAAGAGATGGTGTGCACCAAGTTTCCCCACCAGGAATTCACTGACCATCTTGTGAAAACCCATACCACAGTCTCTGTCCAGAGAATTCAAGCTCCAGCAATAGTCACAAGATAGGGTATTTATACAAGAATAAAGTGTACAAAATCTGTCCAAAAAAAGAAAAAAACAAGAACTGTCTGAACACATACTATGCGGAAATTATTGTTTTCAGACTCTAGATCCAAACAAATTATTAGCCGATGTGGTGGCACATGCCTATAATCCCAGCACTCAGAAGGCTGAGGCAGGAGGATCACTGTGAGTTCGAGACCAGCCTGAGCTACATAGTGAGTTCCAGGTCAGTCTCAACTACATAGTGAGACCCTGTCTCAAAAACAAACAAAACAAATTATCAAAAGCCAAAAGATAAAGGTTGAAAATCATTTTTATAAATTAATTTTTATAGGAAATTTTCTTGTCTTTGCTTATATTAACAGTTGAATTTTACCTAGATTTTTCTTTGATTTTGTAATTTCTGCATATGTTCTTTTCAAAGTATTTAAGGTAATTATGCAATATGATAAACAAGGAAAAATAAAATTTAAGAACTGAAAGAAATACAATGAAATATTTGAACAGAAACAATCATCATTTAACACACACACACACCTCTGCCTATAAGTAGTACAAATAACAGAAGAATTAAAAATTTCAATCTGACTTAGAGCAAGTATGGTGTTCTCATTCTTGTTTGGTAACACAAGCTGGAAAATAAGCCATATTTACCCTCAAAACTGGGTAAAACATTAATTTCTGGAAAAATTAGAAGAAATACTTGAAAGGCATTAACACATAAATGGAAACTTCAAAGCAATGCTTTGACTTTGTATTTTAATTTTAAAAAGATTTTAAATTTTAAAAATAATTGAGGAAATTATACTTCAATTTATTAACTGTACTACTATATATTCAAGTAAGATCAGAAAACAGCAAATATATTGTTCTTTATTAGATTACTGACTCATTTGTATTTGTACAGAGCCTTGCAAAAAAAAAAAAAAAGTTTTATGAAATGGGCCAAAACTACATGTAAAAAAATAAAGAATAAAGGGCAAGTAGAAATGAGCTATTTCAAAAATTTATAGTTAATTAGGAAACTGATCATGAATATTTCAAAACACTGAAAATAGGTTCAATTCAAATTAAACACCTACAAAATATACTTCACTGGATATATAATCAAAAATATATAAAATATTAACTAAGACATTACAAAATTATTCAGAATACATTTGAAATATATTTCAGTATTCACACAAAACTATTTATAAAATCTCAAACTAACTTTAACACCAATCTCTCAAGTATAATAGACTGCTGCTGCCTTTATCACTAAAGTGAGCTTACCTGATGCCATTTGCCTTTGATAGCCGGGTCTCTCACTGACTGGCAATGTCTCTGAATCTGCTGTATCACTCCCTGGTAATACACCATTGATGAGTCATAATTTCCCAGAAGGGCATATTCTCTTCCTTTCTTTGCATTGTCACAAATTTCAGCCAAATTCATCTTTCAGGCACCTAAAAAAAATATGACTTTTACATAATTGTAGCACTGACTTTGAAATACCTGATTAAAGGGCTGGGGACTTAGCTCAGTGGTGCCACTGCCTGTCTCGCAAGTGCAAGAACCTGAGTTCAATCCCCAGTACCATAAATAAATAAATAAATAAATAAATCTGCTTAAAACTATTTTGAAAGTCAAAACAGTTATCATTCCTTCTATGAGGTTATGTGATACCATCTTATAATAGTGAACCACGTTACTAATTTTGGAAGTACAAAGTAGGTCACAAAAGAACATCCAAGGAGATATTAGGGAAAGCAGATCTAAACTATTTATTTATTTATTTATTTATTTATTTATTTATTTATTTATACATAAATGAATTCAACACCAGTATTCCTTACTCATTTATAATTCTAAGCTGCAATAATAATAAAAATGAATCTGCTTTGTTCTAGTCAATTTATTCTTAACAATATAGATATATGAATATCATATAAAACATGAACATGCTATAGTTTCTGCTGATGTCAGATAAAATCACAAAAATTAATTTTCAGCAAGATTTTTTTTGGTCCTGAAACTCAAAGATCATACTTAAGGAACACATTTTGAAGAACAGCCTAAACCTAGTGCATCATTAATATGAATGTAAATGCCCCATATAATAGAAATCTAAGTAAAACTCTATGCATTAAACTACTTGAGTCCTCCCTGCACCTCAATTTGTATTCTTCTGGCTGTGCAAATAATTATCATTAATCTTTCCTTTCTATAAAGTGCAAGGAAGAATACCATGTGAACCTTTGATTTCCACCGAAATCCTTCAGGCCAGTAAGTCCCTTAGAATCATTCAAAAATTCTGTACAAAGATAATTTCCTCCCAAAACTATAAAAATAGGAAGGCCAATGATACAGAAGATGATATCCTGGGAAAGAGTTTAAATTGCCCTCTTACTGGAATAGTAAACCAATGAATATATGTAGTAGAAAAATTAAAGCATTTCTTAATGCCTTCCTGGGGAATTAAATTTTGATTTGGGTAGCCCGCCTCTTCCTGACTCTAAATATCACATACTTTCCCTAAGAGCGTCAATAATTCCTCAAAATTAATCATAACTAGTTCTATACATTTCAACTGACTCCAGAACATTCTTGAAATAACTATTTTAGCATATTATTTGCCACTTATGCAACTGTAGGTTCCATGAAGACAGTATTATGTTACTTGAGAATCACACTTGCAGCAAATAGTACACTACTATTAAGAAATGTAAGTGTAAGAAATGTCAGTGTTTCAGGAGATTCCCAAATCCACAAAATTCAGGAAAATCAAAGAAAGCCTCTTCTTCAAATCTACAATATTAACATGAAGTAGTAAGGTTTTAATAAGTGGCAAGCTGTAATTAATACATCCAGTAGAAACAAAATTGTTCCATAACTAATTTTCTTCAAAAATCATTGAAAGACAAAATTAGCACTAATTCTGCTAAGTGCAGGTTAAACAGAATTAAAATGTCCCGATGCACAGAAATGGTCAGCAAATTTCTTCTTGAAAGGGCCAGACCAGTAAATATTTAAGGTTTTGAGAACTAGCAAACAAAATGGAAGATATGCTGCAAGTACTTTTATCAGACAAAAATTTCCGTAATTTTCATTAATGAAATTCAAAATATTATAGTGGTAACAACTGAATATAGCTTTCTATAAAACAGGTCTCCAAATGAAAAGAACAGAACAGTTTTTAGGCTAATATTTCACTTAGAATTCAAAATTAGTGTTTTCTACCATTAAAATTGATCACAAATGTTCATATTAGTGTTGATCTTTAATTAGATATTACATATCTCATTTTTGAAAATGTCTTTTTTCAAAAAGTATCAGATACTGCCACATACTAATAAAATTTCTATTCAGCATATTCACTGCAAGGCAATGAAAAAATTTATTCTTCTCTTAGCATTTGCATTTTATCTTGTCATTTAGTTGCAGATTAATCACTTTCAATTAAAGGATAAGTAAAAGGAACTGGACTACTGAATTAAATGGATTTTTTATATGGAAATTTCCTTTGCACTTCCATCAATGTCTGTAAAACACTGCTGAAACTAGATTTAGATCTGAAAATTAATCTACAGTAACTGGGTGAGAATGGAGATCTCACTTCTTTAACTTTTGACAGCAGGGGAAAGCTATGTAAAATAGCTTGATATTATGTGTGATTCAAACATCAGTTGGCACTAAAATAACAGTATTCCTTTCAATAAAAGTGCTGTTTTGTCTGGTAATTTTAGATTGCATTAAGAAACATTATTGAGTCTACAGCAAAAATTGATTTCTAAAGCCATTCAGCTTTTAATAATAGTTATTTAGAGCAGTTCTTCTCATTCAGAAAAATTTCAATTTCAGCCTAAGCTCAAAAGTTTACAATAAAGCTTTTCCACTACTAAGCCATCAAACTGTCTGGAGAGGATACTTTGTTCAGTTTCTATTTCTGACAAAAATTCATGGAACTAGCAATGGCTAAGTCCACAAGAACAAATGCTAACATTTCTGGTTCCTTATCACCTAACAGACTCAAATGTTATCTGCAAAATACCTAAGAAATAACAGTGAGTGATCGCTGACTTTAAATATTTTATGTATATTTTCATAGCTTTATTAACTTATTTCTGTTCTGCACAATTTTTACCCTCATTGGTTCTAACATATTTTGGCAGATTCTACTTCAGGTTGAACAGAACTAGTGTTGCCTGAATTTTTTAAAAATATTTTTGTCTGTAGTTGTTCCACACACGGTTCATTAAGACTAATTCTTCAATAAATGCAGACTCAGCATTAACATCTTAAATAAACAATAACTGAGAAGTATCAGTAACATCTGCCAACTCATCAAGAGCCAAAGAAAAACTCTCAAATCATTTGTCTTGTTTTGTAATTTATTAATGATGTCAACTCTTCATGCAACTGTTTATTTCAAAAAGCTAATACTTATTTTTAAAATTTATTTTCTCCAGACACAATTCTGTGCCTACTGCAATCCAAAATGATTTAGTGAACTCACTATTGGTAAATGACTTTCTTGCTGTCTAACAAATGAGCCACTCAGAAATTTACTCTAGGTGCTACCTCACTTTCGTTTTTTAATTCTGTGCAGAAACTCTACTCGAATAAGATTAAGTTTTCTAATTCTTCTAGCCATTACTTTTGTGAGTTGGGAATACTGTGATGAGTTCTTAGACTGGTAACATGAATACATCTTGTACTTCCCTTCAGTACAACTATAGTGTCACTGCATAATAAAATACTTTCTTATTTACTAATCCACAATTCACTGTGCTTTTAAAGTATTAACAGTCCAAGATTTTTTTCATTTTTTTTCTTGTTTTGACATGATGGGTATGCATGACAAAAAAATAAAGCAAAATGTATGGTATTATTAGGCATCTAAAACACTGATTACTATGCATCAAGTAGTAATGACCCCAACTACTCAACTCTGCCATGGACAATACGTAAACAATTAACTGTGGCTATACAGTATTCCAATAAAATTTTATTTATAGACATTAAAATCTGAATTTAATTTCCACATGTCACAAAATATTCTTTTGATTTTTTTCAACCATTTAAAAAATGTGAAAATCATTCCTTGTTCATAACCCATTCACATGCTATACATATTTGGCCTCTGGATTGCCATTTTCAGATTCCTGCTCATAACTTCTATCTAGAATCCACCAGGGAAGCAAACTAAATACAAAACCAACAGAAGGAAGAATTATAATAAAGTTATGGAAATAAATCAATGAAATAAAAAAAAAGAAAAGCAAAGAAATTTCTGGCCAAAAATAGGTTCTTCAGAAAGATCAATAAAAGGTTGGCCAGGAAAGAAAAAAACACTATCAAAATCAGTATTAAACGAAGACTACCAACACAAATAGTAGAAATATTTAAAGAAAGCTTAATGAAATGAACAAATTCTGTGATGGTCACAACATACTGAAGTCTACTCAAGCAGAAACAGAAGCTGGGGTGTGGTGACATACACCTGTAATCTCAGAATTTGGGAGTCTGCAGCAAGAGGATTGCAAGTTAGCCAGGTGAAGGTCAGTCTGCACTACAAAGAGAGATGCTGCCTCAAAGAAGAAGAGAAGGAAGATGAGGAAGAGGAATGGGGGAAGGAGGAAGAGGAAGAAGAGAAAGAAGAAAGCAAGGAGGAGGGAAGGAAAAATACACAGTCATCTGAATAGTCTTATATCAGCAGGTGAAATTGAATTTGTAATTTAAAACCTCCCCACCTTATCTCTCAAAATATCACTCCAAACCCAAATGGCTTTTATCACAAATAATGAATTATACCAAGTACTTATGGGAGAAATAAAACCAATTCTAAACAAATTCTCCCAGAAAACAAAAGCAGCAGAAACATTTTCAACTTACATTTAAGGCATTTATTACCCTGATACCAAAACTAAATACATTATAAGAAAATGGCATACCAATATTCTTCATAAACACAGATACAAAAAAATTAAAAATTTTGATAACCCAACAATATGTGAAAAGGATAATGCATTAGGACCCAGTGGGGTTTATCTCAAAAACTAAAGATAGCTTGTATTTTATTATTGTTTATTGTGGGGTGTTTTTTTTTTTTTTTTTTGTT